GATGCAAAGCACGTGCTGATGGGCCCGTTGCAGTCAAGCAAAAAAAAGTGTTGACTCAAGCAAGTGACGCTAATTTAATTAAAACGGCCTAATTAACAGAGTTGTAAGTGGCAAAATCGTTGTCAAACAAATTAGCGTGTGAGAAAAAAAGAGAATAAGTCAATTTTAAAAACAAACATAGTTGATTTTAAAATTAAACAAAATAAATCAAACTTACAATTTGAGTTACGCACAATTCATGTAAAGAATTATGCACACAATGATAGATAAAACAAAAAGTAAAACAAATGATCACTAGACAGACAGCAAAAGGTAAAAGGAATAAGATGATGTGTGGTTTTTGTGGTAGTAATAGTATTGGTGGTGACACACTAGCTTACACTGTCATGTAGCAGTAGTGTCACTTCAAAGACTGATGTTTCACCAGACAGATGAGAAACTCACAAACTGCGCAAAACAAAGCACACCACCAATGGGTGAACTGGTGACAAGTCAACAGTGACCAACCAGACAGCAAATGTCGGTTTACGGATTTAGACGTAAATCAACACAAACAGAACAGAACAGAACAGAGAACATAGGAGGCAATGAATCACAGCACTGCTTCAAAGTGGCAATAGGTAGCAGAGATCCAGCAAATGCAGCAGCAGCAGCAGCTTGCGCCGCATCAGCTCATCAGATCTTAACTCAAGCCACCACCAACACAACCACCGCAGCAGCAGCAGCACTGCTTCAAAAAGGCAAAAAGCTGAGCAATCAGTCAGAGTGTCGACAGTCAAATTGACTGCAACGCCGGTGGTCTGCTGTTGCTGATGCTGTCTCTGAATCACTGCAGCAGCAGCAGACGTACAGCATCGGTAGCATCAATGAACAGTGAGCAGTCAGTCAGTCAGTCAGTCAGCCAGCCAGCCAGTCACCGCAGTCTGAATGTGCATGTGTCGGTGTTTCTTTCTTTCTTTCCCTCTGCGGAGTTGTCTTCTGTTGTGTTGTGTTGTTTGTAAACACAGTCCCCAAAAGGGAGACACACACACGCACGGCAGACCGAACACAGTAATCAGCAGGGAAATAGTATGTGTGTGTGTCTGTGTGTGATGTGCGATACTGTCAACTGCCGATCAAGCGGTAATGATGATGACAAACGTGTGTCTGCTTGTGTCTGTTTTGGTCTGTCGGCGCTTGCTTTGCGAATGCTACCAAAACAAACGCAACATTGCAATTGATAACAGAGTTCAATTGAAATCAAACAGAATCTTCAAAAAAATTAAGATTAGTTTTAAAGATTAGGATGTTAGAAAGGTAAAGTCTAAGCAAAAAAGTTTCTGCTGTCTCGGCATGGCAACAATTGCACAGTGTACAAGCATTAAGATTCAAAAAAATAAAAAAAATAGAACGGGATACTAAGACATAAAAATCTATTCTGTCTAGCATTTTCATCGAGTTAAATAAATCGCTCAAAAACAACAAAAAGAAATTTCAGTTGACTTACCGAGCTTGTTTAAAGTCTAAACTTGAATTTCACTAGGGCTGGTCACCCGGTTCCAGAACGGCTCAGCTGGCAGAATGGTGAAAAGCTGGCCCACAAAACTGGAGATTTGCAGCAGCGAGATGAAAGAAAACTGGAAAGGCTTGTGAAATGCTTGGCTGACTTGCTCGACACCTTTCTCACTGAAGCTGAAGCACTGCACAAGGCACACACAAACACAGACACTCACTCACTGAAAGGTGGATGGATGGAATGGTAAAGTCACTGCAAAGGAGTTGGTCACTGTCATTGTGCTTGTGAGTGAGTGAGGAAGGGTGAGTGTGTGTGTGTGTGCACAAGTGTACAAGTGCACTGTCCACTGTTGAATCTGCAAAGACGGAAGGAAACAGAAAAAGTCGAGTTAGTAAGACAAAACAAGGCAAGATAAGGTCTAGAGGAGAAATGTAGAAAAAGGAAAAAGGCAAACAATAAACAGCAAATAATAAAATTAGAGAGAAAAGCAAGGCAAATTAAGTTAAAGAGTGAGTGAACAGTGATACCATGTGGTCTGCAATTAGCAGAAAGGGGGCACACGCAGGCAAGGCAAGGCAATTGCTCTTGACTGCTGTCAACCACAACTTCAAAAGCCGCCGGCTGCAGTGACTGAATTGAGTAAATGAGCAAGTCAGTGGTAAGTGAAGACAGCAGCAGCAAACAGCTGACTAGCTTAAACGGTCGTTAAGTTTTAGCGTGTTGTACAACAACATTAGCAGCTGAAACAGTATAAACTGACGGCGGCAGCTGAAGGTAGCGTGGTAGGCAAATTGGTCGTACAAAACGGCCCGCACACAGACACACGAGCTAATGAGATTCGGTGGTTTTGCGGGAATATTGGCCTGCCAAAAAGTGCCAGTCTTCGGTTTTGTTCTGTTCTGTTGTGTGTGTTTACTAAGTGCCGTTTACTAGTGGTGGTGGCAAAAAGACGATTAGGAAGACGGTGTAATGCGAAAGCCTGCCGTAAAAAGTTTCAGCACAGCTCAACTAGCCGACAAACTAGCAAAGCACACACCAGACTAGTGCTTAGTGTTTAGAGTGTGTGTTTAGCTCAGGTGAATTGCCGTTGAATGGGCGAATTGCCGGCCTTTAAATAGAGCGCCCAGGGAGAGAAGCTTGGCGTGGTTAGGGCTCCAATGGCGAGGGTAGTGAAAACGAAGAAAGATAGTAAAGAAGAGAAGAGAAGAGAAGAGAAGGTAGGGTTCACGGAACGGAAAATGGGCGACTGAACTGACTGAACCAATCCAAAACAGAAAAGAGAAAAGAGAGAAGAGAGAAGAGAGTTTCTGCAGCAGCAGTTGTACAAAAAAACTAAGAAAAAGAGATCGGTTGTCTGCAGCGGCACACACTTACACAGAGTAGCAGCAGACGAGAATGAGAGCAGGCAGGCAGGCACGGAGAATTCGCCCGAGCGTCAGAATCGGCAACATCAGCAGCCAGCGGATAGGCTGCAAAACACTGCATCTGCCTAGGATAGGCTAGGCGGGCAATGGCAGCAAGGCAATGGCAGGCAGGCATTAGGCAGACTAATGGCAAGCCGAGCTGCTGCTGCTGCTACCTCGTGAGCGCAAACGACGACGAGCCGATGGCTTCGTCTGCTCTCTCGTGTTCTCTTTCTCAATTCTCAGTAGGATCCGCAATCCAAAGCTACTGGCTGCAGTGTAGGTGCTGCAGAGAACGAGATGGAAAGAGAGAGAGAGAGAGAGAGAGAGAGAGAGAGAGAGANGAGAGAGAGAGAGATATGCCAACGACTGCAGCCGAGGCCGATGAGCTAGACTGCCTTGTGGTAGTGTAAAGGAAGAGAGAGAGAGAGAGAGAAAGAGGAAAGGGAGTGTAGAGGAAGATATCAGCACTGCCAGTAACGCTAGTAGCACAATACTACCACTACCTCATTAAGGAAAGAATGCAAAGAAAGAGAGGGCTTAAATTGCTAAGCGCCAAATGACTGCATACTTTCAGTAGCATAAAACTCCCGTAAATATCTAATGAAACTTACCGGTGGTACCGTCAATATTTTTTGGAACTGAACATGCAATTAAATCCGTTGAAAGACCATTCAAATCGTCAAAAAGTACAGGTGCTGATGGTGCAAGTGAGAAAGAAGAAAAAGAAAAGAAAAGTGCTGATTGCTTGCAGTGGCAGGCGCATTCAGAAAAGGGTCACTTTTGGGCGGGATTGCACACGGTGTTGTGCCCCTGCTTTCAAGGCGAACAGTTAGCCACTGCCCCAATGGTCAATGCCCACAAGGTTCAGGTGTCCCCATGTAGGGGCGCCTTCTGTTGGTGGCAAACTAAAATTCATTTTGTTGGAAGAGAGATTCCTTAACCAAGAGTCAGCCAGCGGAAGAGGATCGCGCCAGACCTTGAGCGGACTTTGCTTACATGCCGAAGAGTACCGACGAACTGAAGTGATGAGTATGCTAGCAAGTGAACAGTATAAAGGGAGCCGCCACCGCTTGTTGCTGGTTAGTTGGAGATGAGCTACTGAGAGTACCACNAGAGGATCGCGCCAGACCTTGAGCGGACTTTGCTTACATGCCGAAGAGTACCGACGAACTGAAGTGATGAGTATGCTAGCAAGTGAACAGTATAAAGGGAGCCGCCACCGCTTGTTGCTGGTTAGTTGGAGATGAGCTACTGAGAGTACCACCGAGAGATGATGAAGATGCCTCCAACTCCATTCTACGAGGTAGAGTACTCTGTGACCTGTTCCTTCATTAGATATGCGACCAACACTTATTTACCTGTACTAACGAGATTCTGTAACAACTGTGAATCGCCCAATAATAAACTGCGTAAGATCAGCCGCTTGTGTTTGCCTGACTTTGGCAAAGTGCCTCCAGTCACCGATTTGTTCAGACACATTTTGCCGCATTCGGATGTTAAACGTTAAAATTAGTTATTCAAACAATTGATTTTAAAGTCTAAAGTTTATAAATTGCAATACTAGAAGCTATTCAACTAAATGTTAAAATGTTTTTAGATTATTTTGATTTATTGATTGCAAATAATTTGGAGTGCAGTGGTAAACAAATTCAAGTTTTTAAGTGTGCAGAGTGCGCAGATACTCAAGCCAGTGTTTGTATAAATAAAAATGTCTGTCACATAATTTAAACTTTTGTTTGCAAGTTACGAAACAGAATGAACAACCGAAAAGCTGTTAAAGTGTTTTCAAATCCGAATACAGATAATTTCAAGCAGGAAGGTGTCGCAAATGTTGCAATTGCAGTGTACATTGTGTTGTTGTAGTGGAAAGAAGTGTAAAGCAATGTATAATGATTACAGTGGGCACAATGATGCAGAGAATAGAAGAATACAAAAGTGTCAAGCTTTGAGAAAAAGGAAAAGTGTCTTACGAAATCAAGAAGAAAGAGAAATACTTTGGCCAAAACCCAAACCCAAAGCATTTCACTGAGCTGATGACCAAAGTTGGACAAATCAACTGTTTTCTTCTTAAAAATCACTGCACTAACTTTGCACACTTTTCACTTTTGCTTGGGCGCACAGAAGGCGAGAATGTTGAAGTTGTAGTTGTCCGGATCGCGGGCAATCAGCGAGCTGAGCGCCTGAATGCTGGCGCCGAAGAAGCTAAGGCTCTCCTCCTCCTTCTCCTTCTCAGGAGCATTCTCCTTGCCCTTCCCAGCTTCATCGCCCACTTCTTCCTTCTCCTCCTCGTACTCGCCCATAGGCAGCGGTTTCTCGCAGCGACCGTCCAGTCGGTAGAGCACTCCCTCCCGGCCCACCAGCGCCACGTAGTGGTTGTCCACGTCGTCCAGGGCCCGGCCCACGGGGACGCCGCTCTGGCCGAGGATGGCGTGCTCCAGGTGCAGCGACTTGATCTGCTTGTTCGCCGCGAAGAGCTCGCCAATGGCCTGCCAGCGTTCCGGCATGTTGGGCATCTGATTGAGGCCCTGCTCCTCGATGGCGCCGGCAAACTCCTTGATGATGGAGGCGGTGACGTGGCCGTTGCCACCTTGGCCACCACCTCCGCCGCCAAAGGTGTTCATGTAGGCGTGCACGAGGGCCACCGTGGCGCAGCTGTTGCGAATAGTCTGGCGCATGAAGAAGAGGTCCTCCGGCGGGTCGGGGGCCCCGGCCGAGGTGGCCACCTCCGCGGTGGTGCGCTCGTTGATCTGATAGAGAAAGAGAAAGGCCTTCACCGAGTGACCGGCCAGCAGCTCCTGCAGCTCGCCCTCGTGGAGGACGGGCACGTCGAGCAGGTAGTGCTCGGTGTAGGTCAGCCGACGGAGGAACTGCGTCAGAATGTCCGGATCCGACTCGATGGGAATCCAGACTTCCTCCGTCGTCTTCTTCTTCTTCTCTGCCTCCCCTTCCTCATCGAGTTTGAGCTTCTTAGTCTCGCTTTCAGCGGTGCTGCTGTCCGCCTCGTTGTTCACGTCGTCATCGTCGTCGTCGTCGTCGCTCATGCGCTTCATGTCGGGCGGCGTGGGCGGCGGGAGGCCTTCATTGGAGGCCGCCTCGATGGCGGTCAGGCCGGAGATGCTCGACTCAGTGGTGGTGCTGCTGTTGCTGCCGCCACCGCCGCCATTGCCGCTGCCGGTGAGGATGACGCTGCTGCCGCTGCTGCTGGCCACCTCGTTCATCTCATTATCGCTCGGTCCCAGTGACATTCTGATGCTGCTGATGCTGCTGCTGCTGCTAAGTAAAAAACAAGTTTGGTTTTAGTGATGTGTGTGTGTAAAATGTAAACCCGAGTTTACCTGTAAGTAATGGTCCAGTAGAGGCGGTGATTAGAGGCTGCAGATTACGATCAGACGCTGCCTGTATAGGTGTTTAAGAAAAGGTGATGACAACGACGACGCAAGGGCTGAATGTCAAGACAAAACAAAACGACTTCAACGGTGATTGCAACTGAAAAGGAAAAACACACTAAATGTGCCGGCACTTGCGTGTGTGAGTGTTGTGTGAGTGTGTTGTGATGTGAGTGAACGCGCTCCGAGCAGACTTCTGTGGCGACTATGACGACTCTCTTGGGACTGCGGCTGCAGCAGAGACAGCGACAAGACTATTTTCACGCACTGACCTGACGCCATCAGCAG